CTCTCCACTCTCCACCCCTTGGATTGCAAACTACTGTTATTTATTTTTTTTAAATACCCCTTTCCAGGACGTGGGCAGTGGGGAAACAGGGCACTAACCCACACAAGGGGAGGGCAGTGTTTACGTCTCCACAGGAAAGTGAGAAGGGGACCAGACCTCAACCTGGGGCGCCAAGCCTCAAGGGCAACAGACAGGGCAAGAAGCAGCGATACAACAGGAAGGCCTGAGGGGCGGGCCTCAGTCCCAGCGATGGGGACCCCATCCCCAGAAGAATGCACTACAGAGGACAGCGCTGAAGATACAGGAACAAACTAAGTGGGGTGGGGTGGAGAGAGAGAGAATACTGCAAACTGGCCCACCAAGCCTCATGGATGACATTCCTGCTGGGAGCAGCCAATGCACAGAGAGGACCATGGGGCTGGCCCCACCATGCGACGACACCCCCTCACTGACCCACAGGGCTACAGGGAACAGCACTGAAGACACAGAGTGGGACTTGTGCATGGTCTGACACCCCTTACCACCCCCCACCCCACCACCACCACTGGAGCGACACAGGAGGGGAGCGCAGCAGAACAGCAAGGGGAATAAAACAATGAAGTCCCGAGGAATCCCGAAAACAGACCTCAGACTCAGTGGGCAGGGTGTGGCCCTTGACCAGATTGGATTGCAAAACATTCAGAGGGGTCAGCAGACAGACCTGGAACTACTTATAGGGTTGGGTTTTTTGTTGTGTTGTTGTGTTTTGTTTTTCTTTTTCTCCTGTCTAACCATGGATAGGTACGCTAACCGATGCCAAGGAGAAAACAACTGGCCGATGGCTCTGCGGGGACATGGGAGAGGAGGAGGTGGGAGAAATGGAGGGGCCAACAAACCCAGGGACAAGGAAGAAAGGAACAATAAGAGATCTAAAATTGATGGTGAGGAGGGTATACAATACCCAATAGGGTTGTTAGATTTCTCCAGTGGAATTACCTCAGTTCTTGGCTTCGCAGGAGAAAGAATTCACGCCGAATCCTCGTTTGTGATCCAAGTGGGTTTTTATGAAGGACAGAAGTTTCAGGCTTTACAGTCACTGAGCACAGGCACCCTCGGGGCACTGCACACCCACACGTGGTGGCCTGAGGCCACAGAGAGACCATGGCATAGCCGAGTGGAAGGCGGGGAAGCGGCTGGAAAAGAGAGCGGTGGTCTCCAGGTTCTGACCTTCAGGACCTTTGGCTGGGAGGCGTGGTCGACGGTACTTGTTGAGAACATTGGCTGAATTAAGTCCACCTGGACTAGTTGGGCCCACCCAGGTGTACTGCTCACCTGGCTCAAGGACCTGAATTGGCGCATGCCCTTTAGCCTTTATTGGCTAACTACTTCCTGTAGGGGAGGGCATTAACATGTATGGGAACAACCCCTGGTTCCTTCCTATTTCTAGCTACCTAGCATGGTTTGATCAAGTGCAATGTTGCCAAAGAAAGCACCAAGAGTCGAATGAAGGTTGAACATGATAGTGGGACAGGAGGAAAGTAAAAAGAAATAGAGAGAAGAACTAGGAGGCAAAAGACATTTATAGAGGCATAAATTTAGGCATGCACATATGTAAATACATTAATATGAAACTATAAGGATATATGTTTATGTACATATATTTAAATGTTAAGCATTAAGGTAGCAGACAGGCATTGGATCTCTACTCAAGTACTCCCTCAATGCAAGAACACTTTGTTCTAATAACCTAGCATTCCGTGATGCTCACCTTCCTGACACAATTGCTGAAGTCAAAGTGGGTGCATAAGCAAAAGTGGTGAAGTAAGTTGATGGTGCCTAGCTATCAAAAGATATAATATCTGTGGTCTTAAAGGCTTGAAGGTAAACAAGCGGCCATCTAGCAGGGAAACAACAAAGCCCATATGGAAGAAGCACACCAGCCTGTGAGATCAGAGGAGTCCTCAGGATAAGGTATTAGGCATCAGAATACCCCAAACAAATATATCTAATGCGAATGATGGGGGTCAGAGTGGAGACTCTAAACCCATCTGTAGATAATCGGACATTCCTTCACAGAATAGTCACAAGGAAAGAAGGAGACACCCAGGGTGCAGCACAGCACTGAGGGAACACACAACATTCCTCAAGTTCTGTAATGCTTCCTCCCCCCACTATCATGGCTGCAGTTCTACCTTACAAATCTGGACTAGACCAGAGCATGCACAGTGGTACAGATAATAGCTCTGGAAACATGGAACCCAGGACAGATAAACCCCTCAGGAACAACAATGGGAATTGCAATACCATGAGGGTAGGGGGAAGGTGGGGGGTGGCTGGGGGGGACATGAGGACGACACATGGAACCAACTACCAATGACACAGGATCCCCGCCTCCCCTGGGGTATGAACGACAATAACGTGGTCGAAGGGAGACAATGGGAGGTGTAAGATATGAAGATACTGATAATTTATCATTTATCAGGTCCATGGGGGAGTGGGGGGAAGAGGAGCTGATACCAAGGGCTCAAACAGAAAGAAAATATTTTGAAAATGATGAAGGCAACATATGTACACATGTGCTTGATACAATTGATGTATGGATTTTTTTTGGATTGTTATAAGAGCTGTGAGAGCCCCTAATAAAGTGATTTTTATATATCCCTTTACACTAGTTGAGATTCTTTCCCTCTCCCTCCCACCAATAATTTTTCCCTAACTAGCACTTCCTCTGTATTGAACATTCCATATCCTTAAAGGAGGGGTTTTGATTCTTGAACACAAAAGAAAGGTCTTCTGTCATTTTCCACTCCTAGAAGAAATTTACAAACATCACATTGAATTCTTTGTACAGTCTAATGTCCTTTTACTTATTTCTTGACGGGTGTGCATTTACCTCTCTTTTCTCGATGGCTCTGTCGCCATCGGTAGCTGCAGTCCAGTCATCCTGTGTGGTCCTGCACCATCCCCATGATGGGCTGTGGACCAGACTATTGTGATTCATGGACTTTTCATCAGCTGATTTTCAGGAGGTCACCAGGCCTTTCTTCCTAATCCATCTTACTCTACAAGCTCTGCTGAAAGGTCACACAGATGGCCACTGTCAGACAGGTGGTGGCTGTGCATGAGATGCAGGCAGGGACTCAAGTGTGGAAGGCAGCCCTCTGCCACTGAACCCTCAGACAGGGTCCATGTACTTTGCACTATTCAAAACAAAAACACACAAAAAAACACCCCGATCTTCACTTATTTGCAACGAGGGCCCGAACAAGGGTAAAGTGAGATGAGTCATTTGTCCCTCAGACACAAACATTTTAAAAAGAAGCCGAGAAAACTCAATAATCAAAGAAATATTCAAAAATACTATCTTTTTATTTCTTATTGTTTTAAAGATCACATTATTGGGGGCTCTTATAACAATCCACACATCAATTGTATCAAGCATGTGTACATGTTGCCATCATTATTTTATTAACATTTACTTTGCCCTTGGTTATCAGCTCCTTTTATTCCCTCGCTCCTCCCCCACCCTTGTGACTGCTTGATAAACTATAAATTATTGTGTTCATATCTTACACCAACTGCTGTCTCCCTTCCCCCATGGCTTCTGTTGTTTGTCACCCTGGGGGGGTGGGGGCATGCCCCCTCCCTCCTCCATCTCATGATATCCCTCCTCCCATTATTTTCCTGAGGGGTTTATCTGACATGGATTCCGTATGCGTGAGTTCTTATCTGTACCAGTGTACCGGCTCCAGTCTAACCTCTGATGCGCAATCTTAAAATATCAAAATTATTGTTCAAAGTCCACATTGAACAAAACATCATTATAGCAAAGCTGTATTGTCCTTTGTCTCTGGCTTCACACGGCTGGCCATGTTACGGAGCCTGTCTTTTTTTGACATTCATTATGATTTGCACCAGGTATCCTAGTAGTATAGTGATGACCGCGTTGGGCAGTGATCTGCATGGTCTACAGTTCGAAACCACCAGCAACTCTGTGGGAGAAAGACTGGGCTTTCTATTCCAGTAAGTTCCCGTCTCAGAACCCACGGGGGTAACAAAGAGACGATGACAGTGAGTTGGATGAGTTGCAAAGCATTTTCACTTAAGTATCACTTAATCTTTATTTTCTTATTTCCCTCAGTTGTTTCTTTCAGTGTCCTCTTCAATTTTTGCCTGAGGCACGTGCCCCTTGCTTGTCCACCAGCCATCGTCTAATTCCCTTATTGGTCACTTAGGAGTGGTTTTCCTCCTTCTATTGTGTCTGGTTTGGAAGACAAGCTTCCTCTAACATGTATGTTGAACACGTTGTGCCCTGTTCCGCGCCCTAAAGTGAGAATTCGTGTAAAGCCACGCAACTTCAATGTGTGCGGCGACCCACTAAATGCTTTCCCACGCTGTTAACCTCCAGGGCCTGCACGGGGGCAGCTCGCGGGAGCCACAACCAGCTAAGGCCAACCTAGGCGACAGATCTGGTTGTGGGGGGCCAAGGATCACCTGGGGGGTGCACTGTTCCACGGAGGCCCCGACCTCGACACCCCTGCCCGTCTCAGAGAGGCAAAGCAGCTCACTTCCACAAACGCCAGGTTTGGGGTTCTCTGGCTCTGGCTGGCCTCAGCTCCCCAACGTAGGTTTCAAGTCACTGTGACTCAGCAGAATCCGCACGGAAATGGCTGCGGGCCGGCGGCACACCCACCCCGCCCCCTCCCCCTCTGCGGCCGGCGACTTGCAGGCGCGGTGGCGAGGCACAAAGGGGCGCGCCCAACGGAAAGTCCCGACCCCCTGGCAAACCTCCCCGTGGGTCCAGGGGTCCAGATGGCATGCTACCAAACCCTTCGCGGGCCCCTGTGGCCCCAGGACCTTGCTCTCGTTCCGCGTCCCGGGACCCCTCCCCGGGCGTCCCAAGGCCCGCGCCCTGGGCATGGCCACCGGCCCCGCCCCGGCTGGCCCCCGGCGCTAGTGGGCCGGCCGGGCGGGGTATAAAGCAGGCGGGCGGGAGAGCTAGCGCCCCGAAGCCCTGCAACAGCCTCCCCGCCGCCGCTGCCGGAGTCAAGCCCTTCCTCGCCGCCCCGGCAACTGACCGCTCGACCAATCCGCGCTCGGGACCTGCGCCTCCACCATGGCGGGTGAGTGCGGGCGAGCGGGTGGGACCCGGACCCTGCGGCTCTCCCTGGCGTCCGCTTAACGGGGAGGCTGCAGGCCCGGGCCAGCTGGGTCTGGAGAAGCCCTGAAAAGAGGAGGCTGCACCCCGGACGAAAGGGGCTCGAGCGGACGGTGCTTGGCCGCTAACCAGCTCTTCCGCCGGAGAAAGACGCGGCAAACTACCTCCGTAAAGATGACCGCCACGACAAAGAACAAAAAATCCTATCGTTGTGAAGTTGGGGGAGTGCAGATTAGGGATCATCTGTAGGCCACTGGACATCCCCTTTACTAACAGAAGGGTCTCGGGGAGGAGACGAGCCAGTCAGGGTGCAGAGTAGCAACGATGAAACATACAGCTTTCCTCTAGTTCCTAAATGCTTCATCCCCCGACACCCGCCCCCCCCTCCCACGATCCCAATTCTACCTTACAAGTCTGGCTAGACCAGAGGATGTGCACTGTACAGATAGGAACTGGAAACACAGGAATCCAGGACAGATGATCCCTTCAGGACCAGTGGTGAGAGTGGAGATGCTGGCAGGGTGGGGGGAGGGTGGGGTCAAAAGGGGGAACAGATTACAAGGACCTACATATAACCTCCTCCCTGGGGGACTGACAACAGAAAAGTGGGTGAAGGGACAGTGTAAGACATGACAAAATAATTTATAAATTATCAAGGGTTCATGAGGGAGGGGAAAAATGAGCTGATACCAAGGGCTCAAGTAGAAACAATGTTTTGAAAATGATGATGGCAACAAATGTGCTTGACACAATGGAAGTATGTATGGATTGTGATGAGTTGTACGAGCCCCCAATAAAATGATTACAAAAAAAAAGATTGAAGCCACGGAAACTATGCAGCCGTTCTACTGTGACTAACAAGGTCGCAGGGAGCCCACAGTAACAGGATTTTTGTTTTTTTGGGCACGGATGGGCGCTTGGCCTTGGTTCTTGCCCTTAAGTCAAAGAAAAAGTGAAAGGATTAGGGTTCTGGGATATGAGCCTTGACCAAACTTCTGGAAGAAGGGACCCTTCGATTTCTACCCTAGCGTCATCCGCTGTCACTTTGGAGGGCGTGTAGGAGAGAACTGACCCTTGAAGCAAAACCCTCCTTACTAAATACAGGTCAGAAACTGACCTCAAAGGCCGATTTGTGGCCCAAGGTCACACCTTGTTTGGCTTCATAGTATTTCAGTATTTTTCAAATAAATTGCTAAAGGATCCTGGTTTATTGGATTATGCCTTGGGCTACTAACTTGCAGGGTCAGTAGTTCAAAACTACCACAAAGCTTGAAAACTTATAGTAGTTCAACCCTGCCCTAAGGTCACTCCGAGTTGACATGATGGCAGTGATTTTAAGAATAAAAATAGATAACTTCACTTAGAAATGTGGGGTTCCAGCACCTGGAGAGACATAGGACAATCTAGCTATTGATGAGTTCGAGCTAGGGAAACTGCCCACTTTGGTTAGACTTTAACTTCCTAGCTTGCCTGGTGCAGGAAGCGTGTTGAGTTTATGGTTCTAACCTGGTTTAGGGTCCGTTTCTGTATTAAGGAGGGACTGAGGCAGCCCCATCAATCTGCGGATGCTTAGTGGTCACATTTTTTCTGCAGTGTAACCGGCCATCCTTACAGTTTCAGAACACCTGTAAAGTCAGGGAGTTGGCATGCATTACCCAATAGGCCAGGTAAGCACAGGCATGCTTGTGCTTGTTTACTAATTTGAGATCAGCAATCTCCCTGCCCCCACCCCCAAACACACACACAAAGATTCTCCTAGGTCTGACTGTCAGCTGTCTTCGCCCAGACCCCAACACCTTCCTAACAGAATCAAAGCCTCTTTTAAACTTTCCAATCCTCCACCATGATACAGTGGAGGCAGTGAGATACAGTAGGCAGCGAGATAAACACAGGCTTACTAACTGATTGGTAAGAGTGTCATGTGTTTTGCAGCACATCTAAGGGCGGGCTGAGCTAGGGACTGCATGGCCTGGAAAGGATGCAGTGAAGCGGGCCGTGCCAGCCTGCAGGCTGCGGTTTCTTCCACTTTATCTTTCAGCTGCTAAGAGACACTGACACCCCCCCTTCCAGAGACTAGTTCCTGGTTTTTCAGTCCCACAGTATACTCTGTATTTGTAGGTAACTTAAAAAAGTAGTGCAATTAATGAAGGAAGTGGGGCAGATTTGGAGCTTGTAAAATTAGTTTTAGCTCAACCCAGCTAACCCAATATTGCAGTCAGCTGGATTCAGAGCAACACAGATAGATGCCTCTGTCTCTCTAGTTCCCTAAAGAAGCAAATTCCATCAGAGAAGGCAGAGGCAGAGGGCGAGGAACTGACGGGAAGGCTGCATTTCTTGCCAGTTCTCCTTAATTGCCTGCCCTCCCTGCTAGAGATTGCTGTTAAGATCTTGCTTGTCATGCTCTATAATAAAATAATGTGTTGCACACTACAATCCTATTTATTTATTTTTTGGGGTCACTCATTTCTAGGACAAAAAAGAAGAAAATAAAGCTGGCAGAGAAATGTTAGGATTGTAGTATGCAGTACATTGCTTTTATTTTTTGTCACTAAAAGTTCTATGATGGAGCCGTGGTGCATAGTGCGTTATGATTGGACTGCTAACCACAAGGTCAGTGATTCAAGAACAGCAGCTGCACCCTGGGAGAAAGATGAGGTTTTCTACTCCCATAAAGAGTCTTGGAAAGGTAAAGTGGCCATCTAGCTCAGAAGCAACAAAGCCCACATGGAAGAAGCACACCAGCCTGTGTGATCACGAGGTGTCGATAGGATCAAGTATCAGGCATCTGAGACCCAGAACAAAATCATAC